GATATTAGCAAAACGGCTAAGATGCATGCAATTAAATGCTCGATAATTAAGAAATAGAGGCCTCAACAGAACTTAAAGGCTCTGTGATGCAAACAGAACGAACCAATTCTATAAATTACGGTCCATTTAACTGAAGATTTTCAAGTTGCTTTATTTAATATCTATTTATATTGTCAAACGTGTCATAAATAAATCACTTGTAAGTTAATTACTGTTATTATTATTATTACGATTACCACCATTACCGCTAATACTACTATCGTAATTATGATCAAGTTCACCAAATTTTTCTTTTAACAATTCCACTTCGCGATCAAAGATTTCTTTCCGGTAATCAATCGAAAAAAAAAATGGAGGGATTTTTTTTTTTTGTAAATTTGAAAATTTAATTCCTTTTCTTAAAAACAAAACCATAAAATCTTCCTAGCATTGTTTAGGGATTACACATTCTTGGCTTCTGCTTATTTACTGGAACCATGCGATATAATGTTTAGAGAGAAAAAAGATTATGGGTTAGGTAGAGCGATTTTGCCAAAAAATATTGCGATACCATTATCCATTATTGCCAATAAATTAAATGCCCACCCGTTCATGGAATACGCTCTTTCCTACAGGTAACATATATAAATTATTGTATTTTCTTGCGTGCGAGATATAACACCATATAAATATACGTATTAATCAACCGACTAACTCTCCCCGATAATACTAGTTTGTATAATTACCAAAGAATCGATCCATCAAAACCAATAATTTATCCAAACCTAAAACTTATTCGTGAATTTGCTGGCACATCTTCAGAACACGGGTTTATTCTGGTTCATGTTGCCATGGTTGCTAACTCTGGCCAATTGGTCAGGTCGACAATTGAAACTCTGAGTTCAGTCGAATATCAAGTAAATATTTTTATTTTAATTTATGGAAATAATAATAAAAATAGATTGATAATAAAGTTATATACAATTAAAACTTTTTCAGAATCGAAATAAATTTAATAATTCATTAAAAAACCTTTACGAGACAATGACCTTGATTAACAAAGAAATGGAAACAATGTGGTCAAGATCTGATCCTGCAGACTACTTGAAATTTAGAACTTTTATCATGGGTTCCAAAAATCAACCAATGTTCCCAAATGGTGTAATTTACGAGGGTGTTAGTGATGAGCCTTTATATTATCGAGGTAGATTGTATTTCGTATTATATTATATATTATATATACCGTATATTTTAAAAAATGCTTTTTCATAGGAGAATCGGGTGCAAATGATTCAATGATTCCATGCATGGACAACTTATTACAATTAACGTCAAAAATGCCCGATAATCCATTAACAAGTGTCCTAAAAGATTTTAGAAAGTATCGTCCTACCAATCACAAAGAATTTCTTGATTATGTTCATCTCAAAGCCGAGCAAGTTGATGTTAGAGGATTTGCTGTAATGGTAATCATTTGTTCATTCATTTAATTTTTATTTGGAAAAAATTTTAACATTATTTTATTTTTAATTTTTTTTTACGCGGTTTTCGGAAGTAGGATGCAAATAGTTCAGGTATTAAAACGTAACAATAATAATTATTTTTGACGATGTATATGATAATATTAATAACGTTAACACATACATTTGCGCACATATTTTAAAGCACTTTATCTATCAAATATGGATCAAGTACGAGAATTTCGTCATCGTCATTGGAACTTTACAAAGGAATACATCATTAAAAATACAAAACATCCTGTCGCCACTGGGTTAGTATACTTTCCCTTCACATACCCCCCTCCACCACCTAATTAATATTATCTACTAATTCGCCGTTTTCTATTAATATATAACGTTATTAGTGGTTCTCCAATAGTCACGTGGTTACCAAATCAACTAGGAACAGTGTTGAATCAAATGAATCAAATAGCTCAATTATTGGATTATAGCGCTTTGACACCTGACAATAAAATTTTGGTGGATCAAATTGCTAACAGAGCTGATAGTCAAGAAAGAATTTTGAATCGCGAAGTGGAATTGTTAAAAGAAAAATTTGGTGAACTTGATCATAATTACGATAGTAGTATTAGCGGTAATGGTGGTAATCGTAATAATAATAATAACAGTAATTAACTTACAAGTGATTTATTTATGACACGTTTGACAATATAAATAGATATTAAATAAAGCAACTTGAAAATCTTCAGTTAAATGGACCGTAATTTATAGAATTGGTTCGTTCTGTTTGCATCACAGAGCCTTTAAGTTCTGTTGAGGCCTCTATTTCTTAATTATCGAGCATTTAATTGCATGCATCTTAGCCGTTTTGCTAATATCAATGAATACGTAATTGATATTTATTATTAGAATGGTGCAAGTCAATGCGATTAATTATTTCTTCACTTTCCCTGCGGATATCATTGGATGGAATCTATTGCATATCAATCATGCAATATTTTTAGTAATAAATTGTCTGGCTTGTTGATTTATTTATTTTTTTCTGTTTAATTATTTTGAATGATCGGACAAAGAATTCGAATGTGGTTGTAATTTTTCATGTAGTACTTCTAAAAAGAATAAGATCTAATTAATGTATAAAAACGAAAATGCCAATTCTCCAAACAGTAACAGTGATTACTAGTTTATTGTTTCTCCATCGAAATCACTACTGTATGAATTATCACTCTTATAGTCACGGACTCTTTTTTTGGAGCCTTGGTTTCTGCTCTAATTAAATCGAAGAATTAGACGATTTATTTTATATAAAAAATCTTTTTATTTACATTAATCATTTTAAATCGGAATTTTTTTGTGTTGATTGTATTCCTTACATGAATTATACGAAGTCACATCCGTCAGAGAAAAATTCTTTAAGATATTTCATTCAATTTTTCGTAATTAAGGTCACCGTAATTTGAATTTTCGTTGGGAATTTTCGGGAAAAATGTACCGGTACTTATTTGCCTCACTATTCAAAAAGTTCAAAGGGCTAGTTGAAACCATGCGGAGAAACATATCAAAAATGCAACTGGAAATAAAGTCAGAAAGAATCATCTTTATCTAATTATTCCATTTGTACAAGACATTACAAACGAATTGTCAGTAACAATGTTTATAAACTTGGATATATGGGTAATTCATTGTTCTATTACTATTATGATTTCAACCTGCATATATTAATGTTATTGCATGACATGTATATGAATTAATGCATATTTATTAGATTATATTTTTAAAAATTATAGTAATAAAATTTATTATAATTTGCAATTATTGATTGTCTTTTGGTAGGCTTGTAAAGAAGTTAAGAATACACATAATAATAAATAATACATAACTTTCCCAAGTTTTTCTTATGAAAAGATCTGCCAATCATTTTTATATGTAGAATTACACAACGAATTTTTTAGAAATTCCAAATTTGGTGTGTTCCCTGATTACAAAATAAACAGGTATATACCCATCACTTTTAAACCCTTGTTCACTTTTCTGGCTTTGTTTGTTACAGCCTCCAATTTAACTAACCAATAAAAGTAGTATTATAATTCACGTGATTATACCAATGGTTTTTATTGCAAGGTCTTTGATGAGTAAATAATACGTTTTGGCGTTTCGAAAGAAAACTCACGAATGATAGACTTGACTGTTATAGTTTCGTGCATCATTATCACATCATTATCTTGTGTTTACGCATCCTTTCAGCAGCTTTCATACAAATAACTTCTAAATTAATAAATTTTAAATCAATTCTAGAACAATTTAAATAATCAACGAATGGAAATTTATTAATCCACATTTTCCCAAAAAGTTCTGCTTTTTTCAAATTATTCATAACAATTGTAATATTTAATAACAAAGAAAAAAAAATAAAGGAAAATAATAAAATGTCAACCAACGAAGTCCCTGGTGCCGAACAAAAATATAAAATTGTTGATGAAATTTGTTCAGAAACAAATTTATATTTAATCCTTGGTGTCGAAAAATCATGTTCATTGGAAGAATTAAGAAGAGCTTACATTAATGTTGTTATCATTATTATCATTAATTATATTAATTATTTGGTTGATGTTTAATTTCTTTTCTTTCTCAGAGATCAAGAATTTGTCATCCTGATAAATTTCCGGGATGTCCAAAAGCAACAGAATCATTTCAAAGTAAGTTGTGAATAAATGTAGGAACTTTGAAGTTTGAAATTTTATAAACTATTATTTATTTATCATCTCTAAATCAGAACTTTCATATGCCTACGAAACATTGAATAAGTCATCTTCAAGGCGTGCTTATGATATATCAGGCATGAGTAATTTAGGTAGCGTTAATGGAACAGGCGACGACACATTACACGGTGTTTTATATCAAGAAAGTATTTTTTTTTTTTTTTTTGGAGAAACTAATAAAAAAAAAGTTAATATTTATAATAATAATACTATTTTTATTTTTTTTTGTCTTTGGATGAAATTAGTTGTTTTTGGAATTTATGGATGGAGACTTTGAAATGATTCGTTCTTTAGTTAGTAAGTAACAAGTTTGTTCAATTTATTTAAAAATTTTTTAAAATCTTCTTCTTATATCTCATAATTAATTATAGATGCGTTGAATGAAGGCAATCCTGAATTAAATTTGGGCGAAGATACAATCGAAACAATTGAAACTGTGTTCAGAGCAATGAGAGAAACATTTTTAGGTAAAATGTTTGGTTTTTAAAAATAATTCTCTTGTCATCATCATCATTTTATTTTTATATTGATTAATAATATCATCCTCCTCTGATATACATAGCTGGTAAAAAATATATTAAAACTGTACAATTTGAACTGATTCATTTATATGAACTTCAACAACGACTTCGGTCCTTATCATATTTTGATATTTTTGGTCGTATAAAAATAACCATGCAATTGGCACGCATAACATTGAATATACCATTGTTGATTGATTCAGCAATGAAAGCTGAATTTAAACAATTGGGTGGTAAAGTTGTCGTCAATAAAGGACTTTTAGGTGATAGTATAGCTAAAATCGTCGCTGGTTTAGTTACTTATTTAGAAGCGGGCGAACAATACATATAAATATTAAAATATATGCGTATCCCCTCCTTTTCCTCATAATTAATTAGATATATAGATATATATAGATGTAAAAATTATTATTATTATTATTATTCATTTTTTAATATTTATATTAATATAAAATAAATTAACATTATTAATTCATAGTAAAAACCCCGAGAGATCGGTATAAAAAAAAAATTTAAAAATTAAAAAATATACAAAAGTTTCATATGGTCGACTCGGTCTAAATACCTCCTATAGCTGCGCCATGCGGCCAAATTTCAAAATAGCAATTTTGTAATTCGTTCAAAAAATAGGATTTCACGTGATTTTAGGTTTCTTACTGTCAAATTTAGATACGATAGTCAAGAGCTGGTCTAAATTTGGTAGTATTTTCCTAAATTTAGAAATGATCATAGTAGACGCGAGCATAGTAAAGTACATATCCACCGATTTCTGCAATGTTACACGATTTCAGGCTGATTTTAGGGCACATTTTCGTTGTTTTTGTTTTGTTTTAAGGTACATTTTTGATATGTTACACCATTCTTTATCTAAAAAAAGT